AGTTTTCAAAACAGCATGGTATTGGCCAAAAAACAGACATATGGATCAATGGAACAGAATAGAGAAATTCAGAAATATACCCACAGACCTATTGTTAATTAATTTTTGACAAAAGAGGGAAGAATATACTATGGAGAAACAGTCTCGTCAGCAAGTGGTGTTGAGAAAACTGGACAGCCACATATAAATCAGTGAAGTTAGAACACTCCCTCACTCTATACACAAAATAAACTAAAATGGCTTAAAGACTTAAATACAAACTGTAAACACACTATAAACCTCCTAGAAGGAAACATAGGCAAAACCTTCTGTGACATAAATCTTAGCAATATCCTCTTTGGGCAGTCTACCCAGTCAATAAAAATAAAAGCAAAAATAAACAAATGGGACCTAATTAAACTTCTAAGCTTTCGCAGAGCAAAGGAAACCGTATGTAAAATAAAATGACAATCTATGGAATAGGAGAAAATAATTGCAAATGATGCAACAGACAAGGGCTTAATTTCCAGAAACAGCTCATACATCTTAATAACCAAAAAAAAAAAACAAACAAAAAAACAAAAACAACTCAATCCAAAATTAGGCAGAAGATCTATGCAAATAATTGTCTGATGAGACATCCAAATGGCTAGTAGACATATGAAAAAGTGTTCAATATCTCCAATTATCAGAGAAATGCAAATTAAAACTACAATGAGGTATTACCTTCCACCAGTCAGAATGACCATCTCTAAAAGTCCACAATCTATAAATGCTAGAGTGGGTGTAGAGGAAAGCGAATCCTCTTACAGTATTGGTCAAAATGTAGTTTGGTGTACTCATTATGGATAACAGTATGGAGACTTCTCAAAAAACTAAAAACAGACTTACCATATGATCCAGCAATCCCACTCCTGACCATATATCCAGAGGGAACTTTATTTTGAAAAGATGTGTGCACCCCAGTATTCATAGCAACACTATTTACAATAGCCAAGACACGGAAACAACCTAAATGTCCATTGGCAGATGACTGAATAAAGAAGTTGTGGTATATTTATACAATGGAATACTATTCAGCCATTAAAAATAATAAGATAATGCCATTTACAGCAACATCAAAGGACCTTGTCATTGCCATTCTAAGTGAAGTAAGTCAGGAAGAGAAAAGAAAATACCATATATCACTTACCAGTGGAATCTTAAAAAAAAAGAAAAATTAACTTATTTACAAAACAGGATCAGACTCACAAACATAAAAACATAGTTATGGTTGCTGGGGAAAAAGTGGTATAAAGGGATAAATTGGGAGTTCGAGACTTACAGATACTATTATACATAAACTAGATAACAAGTTTATATTGTATACCACAGGGAACTATATTAAATATCTTTTAGTAACCTATATTGAAAAAGGTTATGAAAATGAATATATGTATAATGTGTATGACTGAAAAATTATGTTTTACAGCAGAAATTGTCACAAAATTGTGTACTGACTATACTTCATTGAAAAATAAAATCTGAGATGTCTTCTCTGACCATCCATGTTAAGTGCCCTATTTTTTATTCTTATAATATCTTTTGTAGAGTTTACCAAGTTTTTATTTGAAAAGAAGTATGATTTTTTGGTTTAATTTCTAATTGTCTGGATAACTGTTTATGAGAGGAGAAATATGTCTATCTTTTTCACTCATGTAATGCTAGAAACTAGCATAGTGGTTACTTAATAAATGAAAAAAAAATCATATTCTTCAATTTCTTCCATTGTTCCTTTCTTTCTGTCTGTCTTTCTTTCTGTCTTTCTGTGTTCTTTGCTTGTTTGTTCATAACATTCTGTTCTATAATGTACATTTAATATTAGTCCATATAATATAATCTTAACATTTGTATTAGCACAGAACATTATAGTTTATATATAGATATATACAAATATATTAGTGAGCATGCTAATTATTTTAAATAGTAGTTACATTTTGGAGACCACTATTTTAGAGAATTGCAAATAGTTTGCTTTAGTTGGAGCAATGAATGTGTGTGTGAGAAATTGGCAGGAGGTAAAACTATGAGAGTCATCAGTCTCCATGCCCTAATGGTCCCAACTCCAAGAAAGCATCTATGTGCATCTTTTACAAAAACTCTCTGCAAAAAAGGAAGTCACAAAAAAAACAGGGAAAATATATGTGAATTGTTACTGACATACAATTGGGAAAGGATACTAAGGATAATATTGGTGGATGTAATGATAAAGGGAAAATTCAACTGATATGTTTACACAGATATTTAAAATATCTTTACATTTTGATAACTTTTAATAGTATTAAAAGTTAGATAACTTACTGGGGACATTATAAATATGTAAGTAATATATAAGGTTAAACCCTTATATTAAGAATTCTTACAAATTAATTTTTTAAAAGTTAAAAATCTAATAGAAAAATTGGCAGCAGACATGAACAGGTAAATCACAATAGAAGGGATATAAATGACCATTAATCATATAAAAATGTGTTCATCATCACTCTAAATCAAATAAATATAAATTTAAATAACACTGAGGATCAATTCTTCACCTATGAAATTGGCAAAGATTATACTACCCTCTTTCACGGGGATAAAAATGCAGGCCAAATATATATAGTATTAATAGGAGCATAAATTACTCTATCTGAAAAAAAATTTAAATGAAGTGCATGGTTTTTAAAAAGGGACAGATGGAAGGCAATGTAACACCAATTAGGAAAGTATTACATAATTCAGGTAAGTAGCAGTGGGAGCGGAAAGTAGAGAATAGGTTACAGACACAGTAAGGACATAAGATCTATAGTGGAAAAAGATTTACAAAGGAGTCAAGGATAACTTTTGAGTCTCCACTTTTGATTGCTAATGAATGGTGGAAATACATAAATCCCCCTGACTTTCATACCACCTTGCCCAGCAAACACACAATATTTCTTTTATTTTCTCCTCTGGAACAAAATGTAGTTTCTCCCATCTCTTTTCCTTAAAATTAGAGTGTTTCTGTTTCTTTGCCTAGTACAAACAGATATAAAGAGTTTTGATGCACTTAAGAGGCACTGTCAGAAGATTTACATTCATATCTGATTTAATCTTCATAACACTATAAGGTAGCTGTTAATGTTATTTCACAGATGAGGAAATACAAAGACATTAAGTGATTTGTACAAGGTTACAAACATAATGAGTGGTAGGTCTAGGATTTGAATCCAGATCTACCTAGTCAGTGCTCCATCAGTGAGCATTCTCTTTATCGCAGAGTCACATAATGGTCATTTACAATATAAATAATGTATCAAAAGTAAATCACAGGTAAGACTTTCACTTTGACAAAGACTTTGGTACAGAAGTTTCACTCAGCTACAGATTTTGCTTAAAATTGTAATGGAGCCTAGATTATGGCAATCTACTCTATTAGATGATTTTACTGGATCTGTCAGATGTTCCTATTATGATTACCCTACATTCCACTAGGTGCTTCCATCTAGGCTAGAGGTGCGGCAATGACAACTTTAGAATGCAAGTGAAAAGTAAATGCCTAGAATTACTCTTCCATTTCACTTAACCCAGGACATAAATGTCAAGCTTAAGTCTTATCTTCACATCAGTCACTCTTTGATAAACTCATACCTTCAAACTACAAACTTGTACTGACTGCATGCCAAGCCCAGTGTTGGGCTCTTACAAAACAAAGATGAATTAGAATGACCCTGTTCTTTAAGGAGTTCACATCTAGGTAAGGAGTAGACACAAAAGCCTAACATGTAAATAACCTAATTCTAAGGTTATGAATGCTGTGATATGGTTAATCTGTGGAGTGTGGGGTCACAATAAAGTGGCACTAAACCTATTTGGGAGTTCAGAGATTTCCTGGAGGAGGTGGTACTTGTCCTGAGCCAGATGGAGAGGGACTTGTGAAAGCATATGCAAAGATATAGAGGGGAAAGAGACCCTTCAAATAGTTCAAATGAGTAAGAACATGTGAGTGATGGAATGGGCTAGGGATGAGTTACAGGGGTTTACAGACATCAATCATTAGATCTTTGAATACCAAAGTAGATAGGGCTTGAACCTGAGGAAAACTGGGAATTACTGCAGTCACTGCATGGAAGTAACATGATTGGATTTGCATATTAGAAAGAACATCCCAAACAAAGGCAGGTTGATCAGCTAGTTATGTGTAGAAGTTCATGTAAATGTCAGTGAGATCTAAGCTAGGGCTGAATTAGGAGGGAAAGGTATTTACTGGACTTAGTGATGATTCATGAAGATGAGAGAAAAGGAAGAATCTGGGATGATTCCCAGATTCTTGGCATGGCTGACTGGGTGGATGAAAATATCATTCATGAACCTGGAGGGGCAGCAGGTTTGGGAATATGATGAGTTTTGAACATGCTGAGTCTGAAGGAAACTGAAACATTCATATGGAAGTGTTAAATAGGCATTGGATTCAAGTATCTGGACTTTAGGAGAGAGATCTGGGTGGAAATCTGATATTCATCAGTACTATCTGTTTGTGATCTTCTAAGGATTAAAGTATATGGATATACGTAATATGAATATGCTTGTTATTTAGTTGTTTGTTGAACATACCAAGTACATACAAAGGTATATTTACATCACTTTTTTTCACAGATACAAATGCAATAAATTATAATGAAAATCACTTAAAGCACACTATTTACCATGAATTGTGCTAAGTGTTTGATTATCTAGTGTTTAAGATGACTTTTTTTTTTGATGTGGGAATAATTACTCTCCTGTTTTCATAAGAGCAAACTGACTACCAGAAATAAAGTGTAAGTTGGCCAGCGCCACCTAGTGGCAGAGTTGGGAACTCCAAAGCCAGTGTTTTGTATCTCATTTTCTGGGCTGGATTACTCTAGCAGTAACAAAGAGTTTCACGGCACACAGGCCGTTGCTGGGAAGACAACTCCGCCCCTATCTCTGGCCTAGAGCCCAGCAGGTGATGACAAATAAGCCCCTGTGGAATTGTGGGTAGATACTGGACTTGGAAGGGATTCCTAAACACTTCCTTGCTTAGTAATTTATTTTCCTTTTGCCCAGGGTGCACGCAACCCTCAAGCACTAGGACCCTGCGGAATCCAGGCCGCGATGGCACCTCTGTTCACCGTCAGAATCCAGTTGCTGCTCCTGCAGGCTGTTGGCTTTCTCATAGGTCTCGTTGGCCAAGCCGTTCGAGCCTTTGGCGGCCCCAGGTTTAGCTCAAGGACGACCAGGCCTGTGACTGAACCATTACTCCTGCTTTCTGGGGTGCAGCTGGCCAAGCTGATCCGACAGAGGAAGGTGAGAGTGCTATGGAAGCTAATCAAAAGAGGGTAGGGGGACAGATCTTTCTCTGGACAACTACAGGAAGTTCAGTGATAGTGGTTGTTGCGGTAACGAGTTTGCGTTTGGTGAAAATCAGTTTCCTTTCCATCCTCTGCTAGGGCGACATAGGAAAGGCATTCATTCATTGAGGATGAAAGGCGACTTCTGGGAGTTGTAGTATACTTATACCCAGGCATTTGCTGTGGATATCAGTGGGACTATTTTGGCACCACTCATCCTTGTCCATTTGTCCTGTTTAAGCATAATAATTCTGTCGGGCTAAATCAGGTGCAGTTTATAAGCTGATTTTCAGTCTTGGAAATTTTCTCTCTGCCTCTCTGTATCTCTGTGTGTGTCTCTCTCTCAGAAGTGGTTTACAAACTGACTCTCAGTCAGTGGCGCGCTCTCTCTCTCTCCTTCTCACCCTCCCTTTCTTTCTTTTTATCCTAGGTCTACTTGCCGCTTCTTGTCTAAGGGATTTTTTAATTGAAGAAATGTAGTTCCTGCTCTAGGATAATAATAGAGTGGCTAACCATAGTACATATCAAATATCGTGCTGGTGCTTAAACATATCTTGTCTCACTGATGCAGTTGTCTAGGTAATATCTCCATTTTACATTTGAGGGAACAAAGGTAAAAGGATTTGCACAAACACAAATATTGATGGAAATACTTAATCCAAAGATTTAAGCATCTCAAACAATTGTTCTCTCTAGAGTTGTTCAGGCAGGGCCATCTATTTCTGTATCATATTGGTAGCTAGTTCCCCAAAGATAGTGGACCATAGTATTATTTCTATATTTTCCTCTTGTCTTTATTACTCTGTTCTCTCATTTGCTTTTCCTCATTGTTTTATTACAGTAATCTAGAATGCTAATTTACACTCCTGGTAACATTTCAGTGATATTTTCTATTTGGTTCCTGTACCCCCTTCAACCCCCTTTTCTCCATTCATTCTTTTCCTAACAATTGGGGAGACAGTGAGATGTAGTGGAAAGACAATGAGATGTAGTGAAAATTTTGGTCTACCTCTCTATACCTGTGAGATCCTGGAGAAGGTGTGCTATGGAAATTGCAGATAGTGCATATCAAGCACCTGGCACAGAGCAGACTGTGTAGCACAGTGATTAGAAGGGTGGGCTGTGGAGCCAGACTGCCTGAGTTTAGAAATCCTAGCTCTCCTACTAATCTAGCTACGTAATCTTGGAAACATTCCATAAACTTGTGCCTCCAATATTCTGTAAGAAATATACACTTTATAACAGAATCTACCTTATAGAGTTTTGAAAGGATTAAATGAGTTTATAAATGTAAAACTCTTAAAAGTACTGCCTGTCATAATAGTCCTGTATGAGTCTTAGCTGTTATTACTATATCACACTTTTTGAAAAGAGCCATTAATAATGTTTATGCTTACCCATGAGAAGAGATTATCAACATGTAGTTTATTTTAAAAAAAGTATTCTGAAGTGGATAATTGGACAGGATACAAAGTCTTTTTTTGTCTTAGATTTCCCTCAGTTTCTCCAAGGTTCTGCCTCCCGCAATGTGGATATTAACAACATCTGCCCTTCTTTGTTACAAATTGTTTGACACTTTCTTTCTTTCTCTGAAGCAATAGTTTTCAACTGGGGCAGTTTTGTCCCCCAGGGGATATGTTACAATGTTTGGAGACATTTTTGGTTGTTACAAGTTGGTGAAGATGCTACTTGCATTGAGTGGGTAGAGGCCAGGAATGTGGCTAAACATACTACAATGTACAGACAGGATAGCTCACTCCATAGCAAAGAATTATCTGGTTCAAAATGTCAGTAGTGCCAAGTCTGAGAAACACTGCTCCAAGACCACTATTTGAGAAAACTGGCTTCCTTTCAGTCTTTGTTAGGGCCTGGGAGGAAATCACTAAAAAGTGATTTAACCTATTTCTTATGTAAGATTATGTCAGTACCAGTCATATTTTTTGTTAAGTTTAGGGCTCTAAAATTTACCATTTCAGAGTGTCTAGTGTGTACTAGAAAGTTTGCATAGTTGATCTTCAACTCTCATATTAAACAGCAAGAAATTACTCCAAGATGGAAGTGTAACTATAAGGGAATTGACACCTTTTTAAAGAGAATTAATTCCAACAAATTGTATATACTCACTGAGATGTTACTCATATGCATTCAGATGTTATCTTTTTGTGCCTGAATATATGAATGTGTAAATCATGTACACTGGGTGAAGAAAGTTATAAAGTACTGGTATCTTCAGCTTGTCTTGACACCTTCCTCATAAAAGTCAAATGTTTTTGTTACCAAGTCCAAACTCATTCTGCTCACTGCATGACAGCCCAATAAATCAGGAGATGAGGTGTTGGGGTAAGAAGTAGTGACTTTATTTGGAAAGCTGGCAGACCAAGAAGATGGCAGAATAATGTCCTGGAGAACCATCTTCTCCAAGTCAGAATTCATGATCCTTTTATACTAAAAAGGGCAGAGAGTGTGGTTGGTTGGTGCAAACTTCTTGGTGTAGGAATTCTTTCCTCTTGGAATCCTTTGTTCTCACAGCTGTCCATGTGGTTCAGTTCATGGTGTCCCTTTATAAAACCTCCAACAAAACAAATGTTATTTTCTATTCTGCAACTTGTTATCTTTATAAGAGTGCAAAAGTTTTAATATCCTTCAAGGCTAGCACCTTGAGAATAGGTTATCCTGTATATTTCAGGCTATAGGCAACATTCTTTTACAAAAAGTGCAGAGCCAGCAAGACTAAGCCTAGAAAACAGGGCATAGGTTTAAAGCCAAAGGAACGGACCTAATATGGAGTCAGATTTTTTCTTTTCTATTACAATTCCCCACTGTCAATGTCCATTCCACAATCTTGTGGGAAAGGGGGTAACGACCATTCTGGCAACTTCCTGCTGAACGGGAGCAATGAATGGGTGATTATGGAATAGAATTGATTAGCTTTGGACTGGGAACATTCCTTAGAATCTTTAGTCAGTAGTATAATAATCTTTTTTCCCCTTTATTTACAACTATTTGAACCTGACAAAACTTCTTAGTACTTTGTTGAACTTGGAGTTTTGGTTCCAGTTCCCTATATATATCTATTAATGTTAGTTTTTTACTGTACCATAATTACATGAGATTCCTGTGCTATTCATTTAGATAAGATTAAACAAATAGGTTGACCTTTTTCAAGCTACAATGAAATTATAATCTCAATACTTATCTTTTTTAAAGAGTAACTTTAAGTCTTCTAAGGGTTCACAAAACCATCACTCCTCAGGCCTCTCAGGGATTGGGTTTGATTCTGATGATGGTGGTGCTGCTTTAGTCCAAGTGTGATGACTCCATGGCTTTACTCCAGCTAACTTGACAGATGAGTGCATAGTAATACCATGTGTGGTCCTCTCCACCTTGTAGTCAGCTGATGTTCAGGCCCTTGTTTCTCTGGTTTTAAGTAGGACTCAGTCTCCAGGTCAGAAAGGTTGAATAAAACTACTTCAGTTGGATAGGCAGGCCTGTTGGAGGCAAAATCATGAACAGAGTTTAGTAGAGTGCCTAAAGTTTTAACATAATTTACAACTGCTAAGTCTTTTAGAGCATTTATAGATTCTCCTGCCCAGGGAGACACCTGGAATGGCCTACTACACGATATTTCAAAGGGGCTTAATTTAAGCCTGTTTCTGGGAGCCACTCTGATCCATAGCAGGGCAACTGGCAAGGCCTTATCCCAAGTTAAATTAGACTCTTAACATATTTTAGCAATACTCCTTTTTAATGTATAATTCATTTTTTTGGTTTTTCTTGATTCTGGGATAAAGTTAGCTTACAGTTAATTTTCAATATTTTAGACACTTATTGAGTTATGCTAGAGCAGTCTGTTATCACTTTGGAGAGTATTAGTCAGTCCAAATTGAGGGATAATTTCTTTTAGGAGGGGTTAACCACTTTGGACTGTGTCCAATATTTCCAATATGTAACCTTTGTTTCCATGTCTGTATAAATGCCCATGAAAACTCAACAAAGAAGTACTTCTTTTATTAATAGTGAATCATTATTGTAATTTCTGGGGAAAAAGTTTCAAAATATTCAGCCTTCATGTTAATGTAGGTTAGGCCACCCAAAAGACAAAGCAAAGAGTTAACATTAAGTCATGGTCCAGGTTTTCACTTATGAGAAATAAATACAAGACTTATGGGACTTTATAAGTAAAGACCACCAAAGTAGACTGTATTTCAAATTCATTTATATAAAAACATATTAAAGATCACTTTAAAATAGTGTCCATCTTTTCTTTTAAATGGGTATACATTCATCTGCAATCATGTAAACTCAAACTCATGCAGTAAACTCAACTAATAGCTTTCTTAAGCTTTTAATACAAATGCAATTCCTTCTTTATGCAACCCAACAAAATAGTATAAAGTGAAGTTGTTAGATACCAATACCATGCTGTCTTGATGACTGTAGCTCTATAGTATTTTTTTTCTTTCTTTCTCTTCAGTAATGCTTTGGCAACTCTAGGTCTTTGATGGTTCCATATAAATTTTATTATGATTTGTTCTAGTTCTGTGAAATATGTCCTGGGTAGTTGGATAGGGATTGCATTAAATCTGTAGATTGCCTTGGGCAGTGTGACCATTTTAACAATATTGATTCTTCCAATCCAAGAGCATGGAATATCTTTCCAT